TTTGTCACAGCCCCTCGTTTGTTGTCCTCTTCTCTCTCTCTGCCTACGGTTTACCGGGCAGTTCTGTTTGTGACGATATATATATCGTCAAACAGGTAAACCGTAGGCAGAGAGGAGGACAACAAACGAGGGCCCGAGGCTGTGACAGACAGACTGTTTCCTCGGAGTTTCACCTACCTACTCATCAGGAGGAGGCTGAACCCTACACGTTGTGTCTGTGTTTTTGTTTTTTGAGATAATCTTGTGAGCTCCGAAGGTTATGCATGTTATGGGCTTGGGTTTCTGGAGAAAAGGATATTAGGATGGACATGGGGAGGGTAAGAAAAAGAACGATAAAAAATTAGTGTAGGTATCTTCCTGCCTAAGTTCGCTCAGGGGATACTTACACTAGGACTTTGCAGGATGCATCTGACCGCAATATTGGGCTTCCCTCGATGTATCTGGCCGCAAATATGTCCAGAGTGAGTCGAAAAAGTCGTAATGTGCGTTAGTCCTGACTATATTATCTGCTTCGAAGGAATACATCGGAGCCTTTGAATGATTAGAAAATAAAAATAAACCAGAACAGTTATTTGCTTCAAGTGGAATCTCCCCATGAGGTTAAAAAAAAAAGAATCTCCCCATCAAGTGAGGAATCCTCATTGCGAACGGGAGAAAAATGCGGGAAAAAAAAAGGTGATGAAGAAGCCCGGTAGATTAAGTTTAATAAGGATTAAAAACAAACAATAGATCTCTTAGGGTTGACCGCTTTGCGTGTAGAGTCAACGCTTAGACCACAGGAAGTCAACGCTCTCGCACGCCTGTTGCATTCAACCATCTTTTTTTAAGTTTTTATTATTATTTAATTTGGAGCATTCTGCGAATCAAGCGTGTAGAGTCAACGCTTAGACCACAGGAAGTCAACGCTCTCGCACGCCTGTTGCATTCAACCATCTTTTTTAAAGTTTTTATTATTATTTAATTTGGAGCATTCTGCGAATCAATGTCTTAGAGCATGCTCACACGGGGATCTCCGTCAGGACTGAATCTGACGTTAAATGAGGCTGGATACAGACGATAAAGTGCATGTACAATTGGGACTTTCTATTCAAAATTGGGCTTCTTGACTTCTTTCCCTTTTTCCTTCAAGTAGGTTACCATGCAGAAATGCCACGGCCGATGCCTTTCTTAAAGAACACTGCTGATTTCTGAGTTTTGCCGCCGGAATGGATGCCTTGCTGAGATTCCCGCGTTCTGCTGTGTATTCTGAGTGTGTGTGTGTGTGTGTGTGTGTGTGTGTGTGTGTGCGCGTGCTTGATGGTCTGCAGGCCTGCCTGAGTGCTTGCCGGCCTGAGTGTGTGCTATCCGCAAGGGTACTTGCTTGCTTGGGAGGCCCTGTGGCCGTGGCATTGAGGGTTGCAGCGGCGAAAACACTCAAGTGGCAGGAATAGGCCTGCGACACAGTGGGGAAAATCACTCAAGTAGCAGGCCGCTGCCGCACCAAGTAATGGTAGATGTGTTGGGTGCTCGAGGCCGAGCAGAAGAAGACAAAAGTTGGCATTTTTAGAGGCCCAGTAGTTGTAGGCTAGGTCTAGGCGGGTACCAGTTCAAGTAGTCTGAGTGTAGGGCCTGTACGGGCAATATCAGAGTCTGTAATGATGTTTCCCTCCGAAAGGGAGGAGGTACCAGTTGCTTGGAGGACACCCCCCCTGGAAGTCACTGCCCAAGAGGCAAGTAGGCCGCTATATCTCCAGGAGGTGCGAAGTGCTCGTCCTCATTTGCGGTATGCAAGTTTGGGCGACGTACTGCAGGGGCAGGCGCTGGACTTTGGAGCGCTGGTGGGAGGAGGAGCACTGGGCATTACAGCGTTGCTAGGAGGAAGGAGACTGGGAGCTTCCACCTTGGCTATGGTGGAGCTCAACCGGTAGGAGGAGGACGAAGAAGGGGGCTAGGGAGGAGAGTGGCGAGGTACCTACCTGGCTATGGTGGGCGCCATCTTCATCACCTTGTTAGACACTGCATCTGGAAGGGCCCGGTTGGGGTTGTGCGACACCAAGAAGGCTTCAAGGCAGAGTCAGGCATGTCGGCCTGAACAGCAGCGGGCATAGCTGCTTTGAGTTGGCTTTTGCACAGCAGGGCAAGGCCCTTGTAGTCCGCCATAGCCTCGGCCTACATGAAGAGGATGGAGAAGGGTGGCCATGGCTGTGGTGGACCTCATGTTGTGCCTGCAGTAGAAGAGGGATTCGGACATTGATACTGGTCCGGCCATTCATCATGATTATTATTTATTGTTTGAATAAAGAGGGGAGGAGAAAAGGAGGAGGGATTGGTTGGTGAGAGGAAGGGAGTTATCATTGGTCTTTGCTGGTGTACATCTTCTTCTTCGTCTTTCTTTCTTTCTCTTCTTCTTCTCTCCCTCTCTCTCTCCTCTCAAGTTCATTCATTTCTTTTTGCAATTGGTCGGCATTGTGGTTTCTCATAATTTTGTACTTTGAAATTGGTCAGGATGGTAACAGGTGTGGTATCTGTTGTGATGAGTTCAATAAAAAAACTAATAATAATAAAATACATGGCCCAAAAAAAGAAAAAGAACTGGGAAAGACAGCTTGATACAATTTCAACTGCCGCCTTCCCCCGAATAGAACGCACGGCCATTATTATTGTATAGTGTACGGACTGAAAGTTGGCTCTAGTACAGCTATAATGACCAGACGTTCTATTCGGGGGAAGGTGGACTTGAGATGCTGCAAAAACCACGGTTAAAAAAAAAAAAAGATACTGAACCACGATTGGCCGGCCCCAAATGATTCGGAACTGAATTATGCGGAATTTATTCCTGAAATTTTAAGCGTTATTCTGTACCAGAGTGGCCCGGGACCACTTGCCCATCTGGGCCAATATAGTCAATATCACAGGTACCTTGAGGACAGTGGTTGGTGCCCACCTCAGGGTATCAGTTGTCGGGCAGTCGTTGATGCTTAACCACAGCCTGGGTGAAGCTGGATTATCACTTACAGTGTAATCAGTTAGGGGATTCTGCAGACTGTTGAGGGTTCAGCCTCCTGATGAGTCAGTGAAACTCCGACGAAACAGTTTGTCACAGCCCCTCGTTTGTTGTCCTCTTCTCCCTCTCTGCCAACGGTTTACCGTGCGGCTCTGGCAGCTCTGTTTGACAATATATATCATGGTTACCAACCGGACGTCCAGCTCCCGACCCTGACAGTCCGGGTCCGGTGTCCGGTCTGGTGGGTCCGGATGGGCCTGATTCTCCAAAAAATCGAATTTTGTTTTCGGGGTGCCCAGGCCGTTTTCGAGGGGCCTGGGTGCCCCTGCAAAATTGTTGGTGACTTCTTTTTGTCATTAGGGACCTAACCGGACGGGCCCTAATGGGGGGAAGGGATAGACACGACGAGGATGTAGGGTGGAGGTGGGGGAGGGACGGGCTTCTGTTTACACGGGAGGGGCGGACGACTCTCTCTCTCTCTCTCTCTCTCTCTCTCTCTCTCTCTCTCTCTCTCTCTCTCTCTCTCTCTCTCACACACACACACACACACACACACACNTCTCTCTCTCTCTCTCTCTCTCTCTCTCTCTCTCTCTCTCTCTCTCTCTCTCTCTCACACACACACACACACACACACACACACACACACACGAAAAGGTCGTGTGTGTGTGTGTGCGTTGAGGGGTGGGGGAGGGGGAGGATTTTTTATTTTTATTTTATAATCCGGACTTCCCTAGACCAAATTTTCCAACCGGACTGTCTGGGTCTGGTTGTCTGGATGTCTGGACGTCCATCCAGACACGGATCCGGTATCAGTGTCTGGATGTCCGGGTGTCCATGTCGGGGGCGACCATGAATTGCAGCCTCTGATGAGTCGGTGAATCTCCAACGAAACAGTTTGTCACAGCCCCTCGTTTGTTGTCCTCTTCTCCCTCTCTGCCTACGGTTTACCAGGCAGCTCTGTTTGATGCATATGAACGACCATTTCGTCAAAATGGACATTTTTAATTTTTTGAACGAAATTGAAACTGAGTTTTTTGGCCGAAAACTCGTCAAAATTTGTTGTTCGTGAGGGTCCACCCCCTGGCTGTACATGGACCGAGCTTAAGACCAGGCACCTCCAGGCAGGACTGCCTGGAGGTGCCTGGTCTCAAGCTAGGTCCATGTACAGCGAGGGGGTCCAGCGTTTGTAAAACGCTGGACCCTCATGAACAGCAAATTTTGACAAGTTTTCGGCCAAAAAACTCAGTTTCAATTTCGTTCAAAAAATAAAAGATGTCCATTATGACGAAATGGCAGTTTATGTATCTATTGTTTTTATTTTATTTTCTATCTCAAATTTGGTAACGAATTTCGATGTGACCCTGAGCAAAAGCTGCTCAGTTTATTTTTTTGGATGCCATAGTTTTTCTTTTCGGATTTTTTGTGTTTTTATTTTTTTATTTTTTTGCTGGGACCTTTTGGTCTTTGCACGGCCGGGGCTGTCTGGGCAAACAAGGTGACCCGGACGGCCCGGCTGGTAGCCTAGTAATCTATATATGTTTGACGATAGATATATTCTCTCTGCCTACGGTTTACCGGGCAGTTGTGTTTGTGACGATATATATATATATTTTGGTTAAGGTAGATTATCATTTACAGTGTAATCAGTGAGGGGATTCTGCAGATTGTTGAGGGTTCAGCCTCCTGATGAGTCGGTGAAACTCCGACGAAACAGTTT